GTTTTATTTTAAAGTAAACCGGCTTTCTGCTAGTACAAAGAATAGCGGATGAAACCTTGCCCACTCCACAAATAATTTGCCAAAATTCGCCCAGGCTTTAATACCTATCCTGTATAGCCACATCGTATATTCTGGGTAAGCATAGCAAAAAAAATATATTTTTTAAATTCCTTATTGCAAGAAGGGGAACGTTTAACGGATAATAGCATATAGAAAACTACGTATTGCATACTAGGTTTACTGCAGAGACTGAATCCGAACACTGCTAAGTAATGGAAAATTCAATAAGAAAGATTATAGAAGAAAAGGAAAACAAAAGATACCGTGACTATAGGAAACAGTTAGGTTTGCAGACGGCGATTTCCAAAAAAAATACAATGCTTTCGAAATTGAAGAAAGGAAAAGCTACATTTGTTGACACGCTTAAGTAACTACAATACATTACAATATAATGTTACGATAACAGGGCACAGTAAAAGAAACAAGTCGCCACAGATGTGAGATGCCTCAGGCTGCATTGGTGAGCGTAGAGGCACAGTGCACATGAACGGGCCCAAAGAGGAATGAGCGGAACTATTTTAGACGACAAAAGAAAAATGAAATGCAGCAGGCCCAACAGAAAGAAGACCAGTTTTTGCAACTTTGCAAGGGCAACAAAATGATTTGCCATCTGCTGGAGAAAATAACTGAGAGGCTAATATACAACTAACGTCTATTCAAGTTAAAAACACAGCGGATTTTGAACAAGTGTAATGGATCGCGACGCAGTAATTAGAAGGAATTAAAACGAGACGAATTACTCATGGGGTGAAATTTAGAGGTTGCGGCGAACCTACTTTTGCTGTAGTTGTAAAAAAGACAACTCTATCACTTGCAGACATCGCTGAATCAGGTTCTTAAAAGAAAAACTCTTTTTCAGAGATTATTAGCACATAGTCAAAGGCCTGGGGAGCTTGTAAATCCAATACATGAAACAGAAGCTAGACGCTGAATGATCTGGTATTGTGGAGAGAGTTGCGTTTGGCCAAAGGCTCAGGCCTATGCCTTTCAAAAAAAGATCCATGCTTTATTTCCTCACAGAAATTTGACGATCTACAAAATGGTACTTCCGACACACATACAAGGATAGAAGGGTTACAGGCCAGTCAAAGCCTTAGCTACCACCATTGCATTGAATATAATATAAAGTCAGCGCTTCCAGGACACCAGTCAGTTCCGCCGAGTCGCTTCAAGTACGAGGGAAAGGAGGAAACGATAAAAGCTATATCGCGTATAGTTGCCCTGAGAATGCTACAGATGTCTAAGAAATACGAACAGGAGTGTACTGATTGATGATAGTTTATCTCTTCTAAAGAAACTCGGCAACCCCGAACTACTGGCAATAACGTAACAGATGCTCGAAGGTAGTGTTAGAGGCGTCAACGCAGACTAAAACGGGGTTGTAAAGCTAAGGATTTACAAATAAGAGGCATAGTTTTTGTGAAATATAGTTAAATAAAGTGCTTTTACAAAGGGAAGTTTTAAACAATAAGAAGGGCTGTTCAAAAAAGCTTTGGAAATGGAAGAAGACCTTTAGGAGAAACCCTAAAAGCTAGCTAGAAGCAAGGGAAGAAACAACCTCTTTTGAACCACATAGAGTTTGAAAACACAGTACAAAAATGATTCAGACATTTGAACATCATAGTGAACGGGGTTATTTAGAGAGAAAACAGGATTATACAGGATTACAGAGAAAGCTCTCTTTAGTTTAGTTCTAGAATTTGATAGTAAAATAACTAAGGTTACTGCGAATTGTTTGTAACATGTAAGGGAAAAAATAGTCCTTAACTCTAAGGGGGGTTTGCAGCTCAATTTGCTTATTAGGAGCATTTGCCAAAATCTTCTAAGCCATTACAGAGCTCTCCAAGGTGTTAACAACGATTTGACGAATGAACAGTGAGGCTAGTCATACAAGCAACGAGGAATAACAAAAATATTTTTAATAGTCATTCTGGATGCAAAAAAAACGTGCAGCAGCCTTCAGTGAAAAATTGTTCTTCGGTCCCTGTGGAGCGTTGTAACGTACCTTGTCGATCTTATTTCTATCTAGTCTAAAATATCAGTTTAGAGCTTCTATGAATATCGCAGTTCCGTAAGGTTTCATTTTAACTGCCTTGCACAGGACTTGTGTTGAAGATTACCTTTATAGCCTGTTTACAACGGTTAGAGCTCCAAAACAAGAAGAGCTACGGAGACGTGCAAATGAAATGCGCTATCTGGCAATGACACTGACGTGAGCTGAATAAACGATCAACTAACTACATTATAAAAGGCCGAAACCTGATGGTACGAACTGACCATGCAGCACCAAAAGGCTGCACGTCAGATCAGCCGGACGTAAAGGTTTAAAGACATCTGCGCAACTGTCAAGACTGAGACGCAACATCAATATTTCCAAAGCGAAGGAATTTCATCTGCCTTTTGCATCGGTAGATAGGTTCATACTTCGTTCTCGAGACAGTCTATACTATATTGAACCCGGCAACAAAGCATATAGACAAGCTATTAAAACAATCTTAGCAGAAGGCATGTCGAAAGTAAGCAGTGCCGCTGCCCCTGTTCTTGCAAGTACGATATTCTTTGAGAACACAAAATCTAGAAACTCTCGGAATTAGTATAAGGAAGCTGACTGTATTGTTTTGAAGAAAATGTTTTCTTTTTTAACTTTCATAAATACTCTTTTCGAACTGGTGAACCGCCACTGAACAACTGTAATAAAGGCCTGCCTTGACGCGGACACGACCCTGATATTTGAGTAGTGCATTTGACCAGCAAATTTTTTTCTCACATTTTTTTTTCAAACTTCCTCGTTCGCGAGGAAAATGAAGAAAATAGCTTTGCACAGGCTAAATGAAAAAAAAATATAGAAATGGAATACAGGTTAGGTGTTAAATTATAGCATAAGTAAAAACAGTTTTTCCATTTAGCAAAAAGACTTAGCGTTTCATTCAAATTCTAGCGATAAATTGGGTAATTCTCCACGACCTGTTTCTATTTATTCAACCAATTTATTCATTCCGTCTCACCAGAAGTTCTCAGCTTACTTACTGAGGAGCTTGTTAAGCCAGTTCCTGTACCTTTTTTAATGTTAAATGTAATGTTAAGGGTGTTATTTGTCATTAATTGAAAAAGCAGTAATCCATGAGCGTGAAAGGAAATGTGGTGGGGACAGGAAATTATTATTCTTGTTCAGGGTCTTGCAGGGCAGCTTTAACGACCGTCGCCAGGTGTGGACTAGCATTGTCATGAAGCAGTGTGACTTTGTCTTTCCTATCAGGTCTCTTTTGTTGGATAACTTTGTTCAATCGATGTAACTGGACATGTACGAATCCTTACAAATCTTAGAATTCCAAAGTACAAAGCCGCTAAACACTATAATCAAGGTAGTTACAATATACTACCAAAACAATTCCTTTTAAATCATTCACATTGGGTAAACTTACATTATCAGAATGATTCAATTTGGTAAAACAAACTAATAATCAAGCTAATTAAATCATTTTTCTCTGTTTTGATTCTTTATTTTTGGTTTACAATAAAGAAAGGGAGATGATAAGTAAGTCTAAAGCGTATAAGCAACGACTAGTCGGTCAGAATACTGAGAAAACTGAGAAACAAGAGACTCATTTTGGAGTTTTTAATTATAAAATTAACTGCCTGATAGCCTTTGCTTTTATTAGCTCAAAGTAAGTATCACAAACTAAAGATGTATTGAAAAATGAAGCTTCCACAGAACTTTATATTTGTGAACATCAGATCAGACAGGGCTGCCCAGTCAATAGACTGGATTGCATTACGTTTTCTTTTCTCTGTACACACAGCCGTGTGCGTGTAGTGTGCCTTTAACAACATGGATGTCTTAATGCAAAAGTACAAAGCATCATGGTTCCACATATTACCCAAGCCACATACTCTAAATGATGCAACCATTACTTTGGAGAGCTCTATATGAGACATGGTAGACACACACACCCCGTCGCGGTGACGGCATAGTAGGTGCATGATTGCCCGATAAACTTGAGGGACATGTGGTACTTTAGCATCGAATCCAAGCGCGGACAAGTTTTGTATTGGAAGCTAGTTATGAAACGGAATGCTGTACTGGGCATCTAACTTTTTGTAAACAACATTGCAATTACACCGGCGTTTGCTTTCGATCTTTATAGAAATTAAATTATTCGATCAATATGTTCAATAAAAAAAGATCCTGATTCACATAGCAACTTCTACAAAAACTTTTGGGTTTTTGCACGGTTGTGTAATTTGGAGAGTTTTTATAAAAAGCACAACGGGTAAATGCACTCATCAACTTAATTCGATAATAAAGGCGGTAAGCAAATGTTATAAACATGAGTAAGCGGGTCAGGATATACAAAAATGTCACGGAAAATCATAAATATTCCGTTGTGCTAAAAATGTAATTTGGATTCCCAATATAAGACTGATCCCAGGCAACCTATTTAATTTATCACAGAAAAAAAAAACTCTTAATTTATAATGCCTTAGTTCAGTACAAAATATACAAACTTATAACCAGTATTATGAAATCTTTGTTCCGGTGTCGTGCTTTATCGCAATAGTAACACGAATATTACTATATCAAGCAACAGCTGTTACTTATGCCCTGCTTCTTTCAAGTTACTGGTTGACATTCTTACTGGTTATCGACGTACGTTCCGTAGTAATAAGCGTGAGCGATTCACATCCGGGACAAAAATGAAGACCAGGTATTACTCTACCTGCCATCGCATCTGTTGTTAACTTGCAAATCCAGCTCAACGACAGCTCGTGTGTGCTGTGTCCATCTATAATAGGTGGGTCGAATCTGCTGGAAAGGAAGCCGCAGTGCTTCGACCCCTCGCTCTTCTCGCTTTCATCATTCCATTTCTATTGAAAGCTGCTATCGGGTCTTCCTGGACTGTGCCATCGCAGCACGCGCCGCAGAGCTACATCTTCCGGCGCTACGGATTGTCTAACCCCCCAATAATAAGCAATCTATTCTCCGCATCGTAGAAATTAACTCACTTTGCGTGTAACTGCATCTTCAGTTTTCAAACAGAATAGCCTAATGCAGAAATGTTCATTAGATAGATCTTGGTTCACTGTTATGCCACGTAGTGAAATTTTGTGTAACCTGGTTGACTTCTAATTAAGTGATATTTAAGGCCATCTGAAGTAGGTGCTTCCGGCTTCCGCACCAAGAGAGTGTACTGTGCCTGCAACAATATTATGCAGCAAGATTACCTGAAGCATTGTAGAGTGTGCCTATTTCTAATTGTAAAGATTTTTCAAAAAACAATATGTTGAAATTCATTGTCTTTTTAGTGCTACTAATAGAAGTATATAAGACTAAAATGACGGCTGTGGAAGCCCGTAGCAATACACTGGGAGTGGCCGGCATACCGATTAACCTTTCGTCAGGGTAAGGCGACATTCGAAGAATTCCGTTCTGTTCACGTGCACACATTGTCTATTAAGTAGTCGTTATATAAACTTAGAAAGGCCAAGCCAAGGTTGTTATCCGTTTGACTCCTGTGACTTAGCAGTACAACTGCGTCTTACGCTATATTGCTGTCTTGTCGTATTTCTTCTTAAGAACGAAGCTTTTCGTTGGAAACGCAACGCAGTAAAGCACATAGGTAAATTCGAATTTTATGGACTTGGATTCTCTGGTTAAATATTTATAATTTGATTGCCAGATATTCACATACAAACCATCGGAAGTTAGCTTTGAACGTGGTGGTTAGCATTAGACCTAAAGGGCCTACTGATATCTTCCTACTTGGGTCATGCATTACGCCACTAAAATATGAAACAACCGGCACTCTCGGTTAAGTTTAGGGCCGATGAACTTAATGCAAAGAATTGCGAGGCATAAAATCAAACCTCTATCTCATTTATCGAAGATACTTGAAAATACTCAATTCAATATATCTAGTAAGTAATGCGGATCACCTTAATGTAGTTCCGCTCACAAAATTCGCAGATTAGGGCAAGATTATTTGAGGCAGCTATACCAAGGTATTCCAGACGCTGTTACCGATTTATTTTTTTAGGATTGCTGCATTCGCTTGAAGTAACATCTTCTAAAGATCTAGTTGGCTTCGTAGAAGATTTGCTGGACTACCTTAGAATGAAAACAATTGAAAAAAACATTTATGCTTTTTCCGGTCATTTGCATATGATTTACCAGGTAGCTTTAAACTACTTGGCGGACTAAAGATCTCCAGCTTTGTCAAATTGGACGACGAAAAGCCGTGGAATGGACAAGATACACTACGCAGATGTTAACATACTATAGATAACATTGAAACTTACTCTTTACTATATTTCAGAGATCCTAGAATAATCCAGTCGAACGATAGGCATCCGCAGGGGACGTTCCGCCGTCAGAGTTCAGTAACTTCTATGGCACTTTTTTCGTCGCATCCAACAGATTCTTCGCAACTGTTTGTGCAGATGGCCCCTACAGTGTATTCTGGCAACCACGTTGTACCTGCTCACATCGTCGGAGCGTACGAGAAGGAACTAAAACCACAAGTATGCATATAGAAAATTTTCCTTACGTACGTTTTTTGTTAAGCAATGTATTTTTATGTCACTTTCGTTAAATCGGCATCGCTATAGTTAATCTAACGCAGCACTTATGTATCAGTTCATTGCTGTTAGCATTAGCTAACTGGATTACTGCATTCACAGGGCGACTTCAACCGGGGCCCCGCTGAAATTTTAATTTACGCGCTTTTTTGTGCACCTAATAATAATAATGCGTTATACACATAAGATTAGCGAAATACTCATTGTAGCACATAGCTCACTGCGTGAGCGCAATGTCTTGATATTCCTTATATACTAAGTTATACATAGTATATCGTTTTCAAGAAATAGCTGTGAGCTTAATAATTTGTATAGAGAAGAACAGCTTCTATAATTATAAGCGACGACATTTAGTGTAAATTATAGAGACTCACAGTAACGACGAAGCTGCCTGTCTTTTAAGCGACCGACTGTAACGTGTGACACTATCGAGAATCTGATGCTGAGCATTTTGTTTTTCGATCCTTTGGCCTTGTGAACAGTGATTTCGAAGGCACAACCTTGCCAGGGTTAAATTTCCTGCTAGAGCAGAAGTCGAAGTACAAACAAGTGCGTTTGTTGGAGGTTTTGCCTTTTCTAACTCTTAGAAGAATCGAAGGAACGGCTCTAGTAAACTGTTTCTATAAGATAAAACTGGTGCTTCGTAGTACATGCTAGACGGGATAAGACAGTGACGGACTATACCAACGTAGGTCCATCTGTGTTCACGGTAACAACCTGTTACAGTTATACGAGAGGTACAGCATCTGCAGGTGATAATTAATATTTTGTACCAAAATATCATCTATTCGATTTTTTTACTGTTTTCACCTAGAACTTTTACTTGGGTTCGCACTGTGTAAACAAGATTATGGGTTGATAAGAAAGGATCAATTATCTCAATTAAAATAGGGTCACCTTACATGTTCCCCACCTCTGCCTACGCATTGTGTCTTATCTGTAGCTATCGTCTGTACCTAATCTAACTCGTCTTATATGTTCCAGATACAATTTCTTTTTCAATACTTTTGTTGCAGTTGCTAAGCCAATTTCTTAACTACAAGTAGTGCTGCATATGGAGCCCACAAATCTTTACATGCCTCCATTCGAAGCAGCTGGTAGGATTGCGGTCTTCAGGGTGCAATATTGGGTCTTCTACGCCGCCACCGTTCTTTTCGCTGCGTTTCTTCTTTGTTGAAGCACCAGACAGGCCACTTAGGTGTGGGCCGGGCCATCATCTGCTCCCAGGTTGTAATGGACACAAATCTCTGACAGCGCCTTGCCGATAAAGAAGTAGCTTTGAAAATTACCATGCCTTTAACTTGGACGATAATGTCATTCATCTTTCTGCCCAAGCGGTCCGTGGCCAGTGATTTGGGGTTGTGTTTTAGGATGGCGATCTATTCTCGCTGCCATTCCTCTATGATAATGTACTTTTCTGCTTATTTTATTTCTATTGACTCGCCCCTTCTATCCCACGAGTACTTTCTTCTCTTGAGTTTTAAATTTTATATGTGTTACCAATCATTATCCTTATAATATCATCATCCTAATATCACCACTGCAGAGATGCTGACCGTAAGATATGCTTCTGTAACACGATCGATTTTGTGACCGACAGGACCAGCCTGTGGTAGCCTGCTCCTTTGGGATATCGAGGTTTGAAATAATCCTTGCTGTCAAACTCGGTACCTTTTTTGCTTATGCTGTAGCCCTTTTTATATGTAAAGTACCACTCGCAGATATTTTGCGTTATTTACAATTTTGACCTCTTTGTTGTTTATACGAAAATTAATAAGCCGTATCTTTTTCTTTCTGATAAATAGAAATTCTTCATTTTTCTATGGGGACAATTCTGGGCCTGTTTTCTGCTTGAAACGTCATATAGAGTTGTGCTTGCTGGAACTTTGATTTTCAAGGCAGATCTGGCATGGCTTAAACTAAATCATCGGCGTGCACCACCATCTCCATCCCCTATAAAAGCCCTGGAGACAATGTCGTACGCTATGTTCCATAATAACGAACCAAAAATAGATCCTTGTGGGACATCCACCCTCATATACATGCAGGTCCCTGCACTCGTAATCTTTCTATCTTAAGTATATCTAAATAACCTGAAAAATGGTTCCAAATTGTTTTATATATGCTTTCTGATATTGTGTTGTTGATTTGTATATGTAAAGTTTTTGATTACTTCAGCCAAGGTGAATGATTAAAATTGATTGCATTGATATACCGAATCATGCGTAAAGGGTTTTTTAAATCCTGGTATCCACGATTACGTTCCCGCGAGTATTTCTGATATATAAAAGTACTGCCTAATAAATCTCGCGGGTTCTTGGAGTGGAGCTGTGTGCCACTTTAGCTTTCAAAACAACCTGCTGAGTGTATCGAGCTATGTATTCTGAAGCCGTACTGCATGTTAAAGAGCCGACCGAACTAGCTTGCGGACTACCCAAGTGGTTCGTCATTTCGCAGATTATCGCTCTAAAGCCTTTGGAAATGGTGCTAATTAAGCAGATAGTTCGATATCCTCTATTTCCCTTTGATATCAGCTTCATGGTTCTTCGCATTAGGTGGGCAACCTGCTTTTCTTGAGGAACTTTTCCGCTACGTCCGCAACTACCTTGAGAAATTTTTTGAAGGAGATCCTAAACACTTTGAAGGGAAGACCACATGGACTAAAGGCCTTTTTCATTTTAATCGATCGGCAGCGTATATAATATGCCGTCACCGGTTCAGGTATCACTAATATATTTTTTCTGTTTTTTTTTTAATAGCCCGCAGACACGTTTTTTAGCTTCATTGGCTTTTATGATGTGTGAGGGCGCTAGTCGATAAGAAATTTTTGTTGAGTGCTGCTTAGAGCCTTTTGTACTGTATGTAGTACCATGATTGGTTATGACATTTCCTTGAATATAAATAATCATTGAAACGTGAGCACTGCCGTCATTGAAACGTGAGGAGGCCTGGATGATATTGTGGGAGCAAAAAAACCAACAGTCTTTGAGAGGTGCGGTCTGGTATTCTCGTAAAAAACTTTTGTTTTGTTGAGCGGGTCTTTCTATTGGATAGTCTCGTTCTGAACCATATTTGAGGCCAAATGACTTCTTGATGACCGGTTTGTTTCCCCCAAGTATATTCCAGCAGTCTCCTTATAATGGAAATCTGACTTGAGTCTGGGCTCAGGCTTTTCTCTCCAAGTATCTTCCGCAAGCCGAAATATCACTTTTCGTTCAGCGACAATTCTGTATAGAAACCACCCATTTTGATTGCGTCTTAGCTGATGTCGGACGAAATGTTAAGGGTCAATAAGAAGTCTTTCTTCCATGTGAGCTTCATCCAGTCCTTGGCACACAGAAGGTCCTAATTTCTAATAAAATTTCACACAAATAATATGCGTGTCAATGGTCTGATAGTCGCAACTTACCTTTCTGGCTAATTAACTAGCTGCTTGCCATTCGAAGTTTTCATAGACCTCAGATGGTCGACTGAGGCGGTGTACATTTTTCGTCGAACTTAAACTTACCAGATTCCATCCAGCAGTCTTCTCAGTGCCTTCTACGGCCTTTGCTGCGCACTGCGTAAATATCTAAAACTGTTTTGACAGCTTTTGACTTTATAAGAAAGCAAACTAAAGTAAGTGTCAAAAATGCACCTTTTTTTTTTACCTCAAAGCTTTAGCTTTGAAGTCTGAGCTCGACGTCGAATTCCGTTCACTGCATAGTTACCACCGACTTATAAAAAAGGTAAAGTACTGTGATATAGTGTATAAAATTAAACAAAAGTATAGATTTAAAAGGATAACCAAACATTAAAAACAAGTGCTTTAATAGTCGTTTGCCTTTATTTATTATGTTCCAACCTAATATAACTACGAATTTTTAACCTATCCAAATAGATTAAAAGGCGAGGAAAGTATGAATGTTTTTCCTTATAAACCATAATCGCACTTAATCCTGAATGTCGGAGAGGCTGATCGTAATTTTTAGCGATGCGTGTACAAGATACCAATGTGGCACCGAGGTAGCGTATACATTTTTGCTCTGCCAAACAGGTATGATGGCTTTGCTCTCATTTCTTTTAATATGAGACTAAATTTAAGCGACAGCTGGAAATGCTGCTGACTGTAGAAAATTGTGTATCCTCGTTACACAAATAGGTATGCTTACCAATATTTTCTCTTCGTTTATTACCACACAATGGATATCAGCACTGGATCTTTAACACAAGTACGAAGATCAATATCTCGACAAGGTAAATTTCTATATATTTGGTCCTATTGACAATTTCCTACGCAATAGATTGGTGGAATTGGTTGTAATAATTTAGATTTGCATTCCAAGGATCGTTCGATACATCGGTAGCTTAAGTGAAAATTGGCTTCATCTTAAAAACAAAAGATATCTACTGCTACCGTAACAGATTTGAAACGAAGGTTTTCTTGTGAGAGAATTGTGGCCCACGCTTTATATGCAGATGGACTCAAGCTTTTCGAATGTGCATCGTTTTTAGCAAAATCATTATCTGTAAAGCAACAAAAAATCCCTAATTTTAAAAGTTTTCCAACCATTCAATTTTGAAGCACCGACTCTAGTTGAAAAGTGATGAAAGGGCTAAAAAAAGTTTGAATAATAGTACAACTGGTGAACAGATAGCTGAAGCTAAAATATGTCAAACGAACTCGTATAGACAGTTTTAGAAGCTAAAGAGAAGTACGGTCGACACGGAGCCACACGGAAACAGAAAGAGACATTGTCACTCAAACTGACTCACACAAAAGGAACTCAAATTAGTTTGTTGTTTGTATAACTAAAGAGATACAGATAAAAGGAATGATACATGGTAATGTTTGCAATATCTAAACCATTTAGACTTGAACAGGATATGTCGACACGGCTCCATTAGAACTATACATCTAAGATGTTTATTGCGGTGCATCTCTGCGAAAAGGCAGTGGTAGCTTTTTTCGCCTATAGAGAGGAAAATTTTAATCCTCTAGTAACAATCCGAACCGCACTGTCCGTTCCAAATTTGACAACCCGACAGCCTGTGCCTACGGTGTCTGAGTAATTCTTCGGCGGTGTAGCTGAATGTTTGTGAAACATCTTCAATCGCCTGTATTCCAAAACCCATTTACCCGGTCATAAATTAATCTGCCCAAAGCATAGTCAAAACCAATTACTCTCACGAAAATTTATTTTTTTTTTTGTAAATTATGCACCATTAACAAACACAATGATGCATATCCTGTCTTATTATTTAAAAGACAATAATCTGACTGAATGCCATGTAAAAGTGGTTTTAAGCTAAACATATCATGTAGTGTGTTAAACAAACGGTCAGTGATTATTCTTCTTTCTCGAAAGAGAGCGCCGATGTAACCCATTGAAGAGTGCTAAAACAGTAGATTCATCACCAGTGCAATAATTTTAAGGCTGGGATAACAGAAAACAACAGCAGCTGATAGCGTTGGATCTGTACGACAAAGCGGCCGCTTACCACTCTGGCTAGCCAGGTTTTATAGTGTACGGTTATTGCAGAATAGCCCACATCCAAAAGAACTAAGCTGCTTTGGGAGACAAATGCCGCTGGATTATTCTTTTGTTTCGCTCAAATAATATAGCTTCTAAAATAAAAATGATTTAGGCAACCTATCCTTACTGTGTGAAAACAATAATACGCAAATTAAATTTGAATTGAAGAATTTATGAATTGTTAGACTTAACAAAATCTGCTCTGAAAAATCCGAATATCCAAAAACCTTTATGTGCAGAGGTATGGTTTCCAATGGTTAATAAACCAATTATACTGTTAATCTCGTCTAAGAAATTTAAACTCAATTATAATAGCCGTATTTCTCATTACAGGGCGTCCGGGACGTCTCAGATCGCAGGCTCCTAGATCTCCTTTTTCAACAGTTTAACAGGTTGACCTCCTTTGCACTGCGCTTTCTATGACTAAATTTGATTACTCATCAAACAAGGTATATTTTAGGTCTGGTCGCGAGGTACTACTTAGGCTTCTATACCCCAGACGAAATATACCTCAAACCCGTGTACGGAATATATCCTGTCAGCATTCTTCGTCCCCTTTCTCTCTAGTAAAAACATTCAGTGTTGAAAATGCTAATTCCAGTTATTCGTTGCTTAAATGCCACTTAAAAAATGAGCTAAATGAGTTTAATGCACTCAATGTAATACACATCGGATACAAGTTTACGATCGAATGTTCGATGTTTACGATCGAACTTTGACTTTACTTAATTTAACATTATCTGCGTGTAAAAAAAACCATGAAGACTTTTCTCTCTCGGTGGAGCCTAAAGCCAACTAAGCATATAAGATCCGTTCTTTAATCCTTACCCATAACTACCCCTTGTCTGAAACGATTGGATGAACATAGATAATTACCGTTATAAGCGAAAGGAATAACGGTTCAAAATCAGCTAAAGGCAAATCTATCGTATTGGGAGTAAATGAAGTAGGTGTTAGAGGTAGTTGGAGCCTGAGGGGTTAATAATATACACATTGACATTACTCTAAGCGGCGCACGCAACTTAGGACTAGGGGACGCGTTATTCGTAGACTTCCGGTTGCGAGAAGCTTAGTCCTTAAAATGTTTGTACTATAGATACAGTGGTGTGACTAATGTTGTATCAGGAACCTTTATCGAACACACTCGTACAATTAATCGGAATTAAGCTTCTGTGTTGACTCGGGTTGTAAAAAAATAAATCCTCTGCTGACAACGGTGCATCCAACAGTGGTACAACTTTGTCATTAATTGTCATGGATCTAAGATAGTCATTGGTAAATAGATAAAATAAGGTTATTAGGTTAAAAAGAAAGTGCATATAACAGAGCATTCATTGGCTGCATTCTATCCGAAAATATATCTCATCAGATCCAACCATTAAAGCTCTTGTCTTTAGCTTTTAAAGCTCATAGTAGATCATTTGCCCCTTCATTTTGAAAGAGATATTCTGGCCAAATGAGTACCGTTTCTCTTCACATTACGATACTGATGGATGTAGCTCAAGGTTATTCGAACAGAGAAAGATTTTTTTGATTATTAAAGTGTTTGGTAAACTTTTTTGTTTGGTAAACAGCAATTATCTTTATGCAAAATTTTATTATGCACATTTTGTTTGCCATTGCAGTTGGACAATATTAATGACTTCAAGTTTTCTTAGCTGCTTTAGTGCAACTCGGATGATTTATTTTGTTTAATAATTTCATAAGTAAGATAATTCCGATAATAATTTCTTTAACAGGTGATAACTCTGCCTCCGAGATCGTTGGATGCTTTAGGGAATATAGTAGCCGATAACGTTAAGGATAATATAAGCTTTGAGAGGTCTCTAGTAATGACACCAAAACTTGAGGCTACGCCACAGTTTGAGGCACAATTTCATGGCGTTCAAGAGCTTCCAAGGACAATTGAGCTTAATGCTCCACTGGACTTCAGCTCGCAACAGCTTCGTAAGGTACTATATTATTTCAATAGCAATATTTTATCGTGTGCTTTTTATAGTAGCTAAATTAATGCACCACTTGGAGCTCAGAAATAATTTGCTACGAATAAACAAAGTATATGCTATAGGTTGAATATACGAGTAATATGTTATTATTTTATATTTACGAGTAATATTTATTATTTCGGCTAACAGATTAGAAATAAAGCTGAGTTATTTGAAGAAATAAGAAAAATATTATAAAACGGTTTATAGCTTATGAATAAATTCACTATTTTATTTTTCACATTATCGATCGCCGAGAATACGTTTCGTTGCAATTGTACCATGCCTTAAAGACACTCGTAGTGATACGCTTATAACTACACGTCTTCACCCTACAATTATAATTTCCAGATAAATACGTCAATAATTATGTCATTGTATTAATGCGAATCAGGTTTTTAATTTACTCTATGAAGTATATAAAGAATGAAATAGTCCTTACATAAATCTCTTTTATGACAAATAAGGTGAATTAGTGTGTATAAATTAGCAGTGTAGTAAGCCTCCATGTTAGACTTGAAGGATATAGTGCAGAACGGTGCTGGTGCCGACACGGCTTTCGAGGTGTTTTGGCTTATTCATGAGCATGATAAATATTTTGCTATCATCCAAGATCAAACATATACTTACTAGTTGAAGTCTCACCTGATGCAGATGTCAATAGGACGTACAGGCAACGTCAAAAGTACGCACGCAACCATCCTAGGAAGTTCACAGAAGTGTCTCCATAGGTACGGAGCAGTTCTAGGGATACGGTTTACAAACGCCGATTGACGCATCTTAAGGGTAGTATTTTCAAACTATGGAAATTTAATAGAGAATCCTACGGTATGAAAAAAATCCAAAATGATTTTATTCGCTGTGCTCGACTTCCAATTTGTACGTTGGCTCCATAGTCCTTAAGCTACTACTGTAGGGCTTGACACGTTCCCACTTAGCCACTGGCTCCACCACTGATGCCTCCCAACATTTAAACTAAAACTTGGACTAACTTAGCATTTATTTGATAGGCAAAGCCTAAATATATCAATGTGCTTAAGGTTCAGATGGCTCGCAATGTTAAATGGGGACATGAGGCTGCCAATTTTTCTAGTAAGCTCTAAACATATCGCGCCAGCTTTCACTCGTTTTATAAGTTTAGTTAACAAATAAATCACGGGCTTCTTTTCTAGTACGCAAAATGCATTAGTACAGGAAAACATACTTGGTACAGCCCGATGTCTTTAGCATATTACTTTTTCAAGGTTTTCGAAAAGATAATGATTAGAGGCCTTTTAATTTGGCCAGTTTGGGTTCCGGAAGATACAGTTGACACAACTGGCGCAAGTCTAACAGAACTCCACCGACGAGATTGGAAATAGGCAGGTATATGTTAATGCCGTTGGTTCGAATATGGGGATCCGCGCGCGTAAGCTTTTTCAGAAAAAAGTTCTGATCGATCGATAGATAGATGAATGGAGATGAAAAACTTCTAACCAACAATGGAGTAGGAGACTGTGAGGCTGTTAGGCCGAACGCACGCAATTCATGGCTTCTAATTAGTAGTGTTCAAAAGACTTCATAGCCGGAAAGTTATGAGGCACTCGACGTTGAGAATCGCTTAGAAGGAGCTTTTCTTTTTTGTGTCATTCCATCTTTTTGCAAAGCAGGTGAAACTGGACGAGAGGAAGTCAACACTGAAAAATCTCAAAGGTCCATTGTTGGACCCCACATGCCATGTTTTTTAGTTACATTTGGCTTAAAATGTCAGCGTGTGGTATCTGTAAGATTATGCGATGGTACTTTTCCCTCCGATAATACACGGACTACTCTTGAGCGTGTCAGAGATTATTGAAACTTCCAGGAAGTATAAAGATAAGAGTCCTTTAACACCTTGAGCTTTTAAGCACGAAGGCGACCCAGAGATACCTCGTGTTCCAAGTGAAGATCTTTCTTGAAAAGCTACTACTTCTATGTTATGCATCTCTTAAAAGGTGACTGTCACAGGACTCAAATCGTTCAAAGTGATCCTCTCAAAGCAGTTTTCGGCCAGAGCCACAAAATCGCGGTAGGTGATCTACTTACTTCCCGTAAATTGTCATTTAAGTAAAATATAAACACGCATTGCTCGTTTTCAAGATGTCAAAGATATCTTCGCCGCTTACCGTTGCGCTACTGTGTTCGAAATTTTTTTGGTTGTCAACGAATCTATTTCTTTGATAGGTTCTACCTTTTTGTTTACTATCATACTGAAGTCCCTTACTCGCTAAATTCTATTAGTCGATTTATTGAAAGAATTCATGAAGGAAATTCTAAAGCGCGTGGATAGAATATAAATTGGGTAATCATGTAAAAAAAATATTCGTACTGTAAATAATAACGGTGACAATATATTAATCGTATGATAAATTCTATACAAAACGTGTAAAATGAACCTTTTTTTTATCATCTTATATCTCTTTCATTACTATTTTCATGAAAACTAAGCGTCACAAAATGAAGGTTTCAGGAACTGCTGAGCTTGCTAAAATAATAATTTTTTACGATAAGAGCACGCCATCATTCATCCCACTAAACTCCGAGATGTGTGTAGAGATCACGTTATAGATAACATCTTATGAAATATAAAGTTGTGTGTAAAACGATGCTTCGACTGAGATAGACATTAAAAATGAAGTACGTTTCGGTATTTCGCGGATTGGATTTTCGCCATTATCATATGAAGAGAACAAAGAGTCTTAGTTTTGAAAGGATTCTTTTGAGTTTCCATATATTCCATAATTTATTGGCAATTAACTGGCCTGCACTTACATAGGGTCAAAGCAGAAATTCTTCCGGACTATATGTTTTCTTATGTTATGTTTATCATGTCACATTTATGTAAGCTTCGTCATTAAGCAATAAGTTTATGTTCAACTGGTAACTGGTTCTATTAGAAAAAATAATTTTTTTCAGCGAGTCCCAAAAATTAACTTAACAGAATTTTGCATTAACATGGCACGCACAAGGAGCAATAACACAAATGTATGGAAATGGCTGCTACCTTACAACCTATTTAAATCACCATAAGAACAAACGAAGGGAGGAACGTACGAAATAGTTGCCGATTATTTCTTCTCACGAAGCTACGACGGTGCAATCTGATGGCAGAACGTCGCTAATCTGTGACGTTGGGCAATTAACTGTAAACTGAAAAAGCGATTTTTTGTCAACTTTCAAAAATTTTGAAACTAAACAAGTGCAAGGGCTCTCGAAATCGTGTAGAGCCGCTAGCTGAGTCAAGACTATAATAGTATGTGTTAAGCCTGAACCTTCTTAGGGAGCACAGCGAGCAAGTGCATCATATTGCATTTGATATATAATATAAGATTATATTAATGCATCTCTATATAGCCCGACGACTACAGGGGCACCGCGCAAGTAGTGGACCCCGAGATTTCGGAAGTTCACAGAAAGTCAGCCATACAACATGCTGGAGAAGGAGATGATGGAGAGGTCTTGGAAGACCATGGTCCACATGGAATGCCGTATAGAAATCTTCAAGATTCGAAAGAGCAGGTACAAACCGGATTAAATTTTTTGTTTAATCCTATTATTTGCTAGAAAAACATTACTAAATAATCTAATGCAAGACATTGCAAACGAAAAATCTTTACACCGGTTCTAAGTCAGTCGTACCCTGATAAAAACAAAACTCATTGGTCAAAAAAATCATTGAAAATTACAGCAAGACCAGCAACAATATCGGAAGCTGGACACGTATAGGACATCAAGGAAAGTACCAAAAGCGAGCGCTCAAAATAGTAATGAACGCGATGATCAAAATTTGGAGAGACATATGGTATGTAACAAAATGGTGCGTTACGGGGAACTGTTGAGAAAAGTTGGTAGATATATAACGTGCTAGAAAATTACTAATACCTGACTTCTAAATATGCATGAATGTAAAAGAAAAAATGCCATTTAGCTCAATTCAAAGAATAGTAGATTTTTAAGAAAAACATTTTTGAAGTAAAGAGTACTACGCATAGTTAAAACTCTTTCTAGTTTAGTTTTCTAAATTATCTCGGTACACACCACATATAGATATCTTAGTTCTTTTTCTTGGCATGTTTAATTTGAACAGCCGATTAGAATAGAAGATTACATAAACTTTACAGAATTAGTATACGATTTGGATAATTTCGCAATAAAATATAAGTATGGTCGCAGATCTTATCGCTCAGAACTTCGACTCTCAAATCTGTGACAGTGTTTCCGATTGCTGTCAGGTCTGGTTTAGGGTGTAAGTGCTAAGTAAGTATAAAGAGGTACACCAAAGAGACAAGACAATTACAGTTGCTCATCCTCGTTTAATTCCGAATAATAGAATAAGCAAGCATGTCTGAACTAGATTGTTGCCGTTAGTATTATTGCTTCATAATGTAATCTATAGTCACAAAGCTAAATTGCTCACCGAACACAGGTAAATCTAGACAGCAAGAATACAAGAAATTTCTTGTGGGCTGCCGACCCAGTGACGAGCCTAACTCGTCGCGTTCAGTTTTTTATGCTTCTAGACATTCTGCCGGCACACGGCCCTTTTTTGGGATGCGTAGGCGTCGATGGTGGTCGATAGGTATATGTATGTGACCTCGTATGATATTACAATAACGCAACATTGGTATGATGAATTCTTCGCCTAAAGCGCTCTTAGAAAAAAAACTTCCACGGCAGTAGCGATTTCAGTCTTTCATCCTTGGTTGTCGTTCTACTGACCGTACGCCTCGCTCCGTCTAGTGAATCCGGACAACCAAGTTGTTTCTTACGTAACTTCGAGGGTAGGTTAACCACCTAAAGCTAATACTGTAAGTTCCAAGGAGAAGAAAAAAAACGGCAGAAATTGCTGCATGTCCGCGGTCGTTATTGGTTCCCGTAGAAGTATTATGTACAGCTGCTTTGAATGAGGGTACCTTCCCTGCGAATGGAAATTTAATTTCCCCGGACACAATTATCCTGAAAGCAGGGTTTTTCAACTACCCGTAATTGCAGTATTATGTCAGTTTCGAAAAGCAGAAACAGAAGACTTTGTCAGCTGTTGTTGATCTCTTAAAAAGCCTCCTAATAAATACACTGCTTCTAATTTATATGCTTCTCTGTCGAATTTTACTGTTTAACTATCGAATTTTAAAATTATCTGAAGGCGCGAACGCATTCAATTAAATGCGAGTCAAATAAAGAAAATACGAAGCATCATATTCGACTGTGATTATGGACGGACAATACATAGAACGTTGTAGAAAAAGCACAGCTATTTTTTGATTACGATATGGCTTAGCTATGGAATTACATTTAATCAGCTTAAATTGGGCGTTTATATAACGCAATAAGGCATACACATATACAAGAAGGCGGGTAAAGTGGGCAATAATACACAAAGAGCTTGATACGTCATCCTAAGGAATATATGATTTTCCAAATGTGGACCATCATACAAACTTCATTATGATCTCCTGTATTATTTCTAAGTCTAAAATTTTGTGTTACTTGACAATACATGATCTGGCTACTTCTCTTTGTATGTCAACATTTTTTTGCTTTGCAGCCATTACAAGCGTTTGTATTTTTCAATCCAGATGAAACAGTTACGATGTCGGGTAATAGGTTTTTTGCCCACTTACAGAATATGCTCGTAAGAGAGATATGTAAAAAAAAACTGGTTGTATTCAAAGCTTAGCTGAATCGGATAATATGTGGCTCCAACAAAGCAGTGCAACCTATCACTAATTATAAGATTATGGAAAAAAAATTATATGACGCCAAATTTTCGCAGGGCACCTGTTTCACGCGACTCACGACTATAAAACTCTCCTTTTCTCTTTTGTTTTTGAAAAAGCATCTACATGACGAAATCTTCTACAGTTTACGAGTTGGACAAGAATACCGGGTGACAAGCTTCTTTGAACGGAAATTACCTTCAAGCAAAGCAGTATTTAATGTAAAATTCGGAGAAAATATGAATTAGTAACCGTATATAATAGGTTCGTAAGGACTCTCTTTTTAATGCCTGTTTTCCCTTTTAGCTCTTTATGTGCCATTCGAAAGTGCCCTTTTTTTTTATGTATGAGCTTCGTATCTTAATTTTATAGTGAACGACATCATACGTCGAGTTTACGCTTTAAAAAGGAAGAATCTATGTAAAAAAAATTCATATCGATATCTACTTTATTTTTCTTTTTGCCGAAATCAAAAACTGCCGAAGCACCCTAAAGTGGTTTAGCCATGTGTAACGAGCTAGTTTCCCGCGAATTTCGGTTTAAAAATAGAACCTTCAACCAAGAGGGTATGCCTTACCCTAGTTCGAGCTTTTTATCGACCTTAGATCGCAAACAACTTAATTTTAAATTGTCAAAAGGTACGCTGTGAGCACCAAATTATCATATGATATTCTGGATTGATACAATTTTATTAGAAATTGGGAGTCTGATTATATCATAGATTGAGTGAAACGCTTGTGAAGATACGGCTTTTCATTGACCCACATCACCTCATATGACACTGTTTAACGTGCTGCCACAAGGACAAGTCTTTATATCGAATTGTCATGGGTTACAAGAGGTGCTATCCTCAGGTTTGTATGAAGCAAAGAAAGAAATGGGTAACCCCGGGAGTACGCCTGAGCCTCGAACTTCTTCTTTTTACTTTACTACATTTTCCTATTAGCGGCAAATGAAATTAGTACTTATTATTACCTATTAGTAGTAGTAATACTACGGCGCTGTTACGTTTGGCTAGCGTAAATATTATCACACTCCACACCAACAATGTCCTTACAGTTTATAAGATCGTATAGGATAGCCCAAAGAAGAAATCATCTTGCGCACATTAGACCTTTTGACTAACCCCCAATGTTTCATAATTTCCAGGTGCGTGATCGCTATATATCAGAGGAAGACGATTATGAAGATAGACTCCTGCAAGAAAAGTCTGACCAACGGTTATACGATAAGAAACATGCAAGAGTACGTACCCGCGAGAAGGACGGAACGAAAAGCGAACGATCTAGTGGACTGACGTTTGGTTTGTTTAAATTTTTTTTCTGTATTTTTCGGTTTCCGTGCAGTATAGCTATTTACTACATGGGCATTAAGCAGCTGGCGCTACTTGATAAGCCTGCTCACTACCCGAGTCTTACTAACATGATCAAGCAAGTAGTATCTTGGCCCGTTAAATGTGGTACGAGCCCCGACAGACGCACCCTCTCCCGCAGCATCAGTGCGGTTTGAATCGACCACGATGATTCTAGCTGATCTTTCCCCACACGAACGGCAGATTTTTCAAACGGATATCTTTTTTTAATCATAATGTCATTTCCTCGATGGATCGAGTTTGATTAGGACAATGACTAAAATTGTTAGTCCTGCCTCGAAAACTTTGCAGTGCTTAAATAATTAGTAGATATTCAACGTGTCTATAAACTGAAGATCGATATGTTCAGTACCAGTATATAATAATTCATCTGGAGCCGGACAATTATAAGATGGCTACTGTTTCATTTGGCATTACGTGAACGCCAATGAGATAATTGAAGTAATGAAATAAGCCTCAGTTGCTTCTTATTGTGGTAGAATCAGAAAAGTGATCCATTTTGGTACGTACGTCAAACTCGAAACAACGAACGTCAGACAGTTTAGAAATTTTTTTTTTGTTCAATAAAAGAATTAAGAGATTTCTTAGAAAATATCAGGTATGTTTGACCAAATATAACTCTGCTACAGGTGCCATATAAGACCACAGCGCTACATACGCTAAGTTTTTTAAATGTAATATTTACATTCTGAAATATATTTGATGCATAAAATTAACATATTAGATCCAAAAAAGTTTAACAGGAACACTAGACACGAGCTATATAAAATGTAATACTGCACACAGTGTACTTAGTGAAAACATATCCGTGTTGCACGATTTTGATCTAAGCCTTTACAATTAGCACATTGTTTGGATCTGAGATATTATATATATTTTGGTCTTAGTTCGATTTTGTTGACTCCTCCGTGCGGCATGTGATTGCTGTCTGGTTCAAGGTAATTAGGATAATTACCTTCTTAGTCCAGCCTCTTGCTACGAGCTCCAGGCGCTGTTGCCTCCGATACAGAACAGGTGCTTTTGCCTCTTGCAAGTGTTTTATATCTTTATGATGTTCTGACGTTTTTGGTTCTTACACCGGCTTCCTAAAAGATTTTGTGATCCTGTTGGCTGTACTGAAATGGAATGGATTACACGTTCTTAGTAAGCTGTCGCGCGTCGGCTCCATGGAGTAATTTCGTCATGATGGTTTCCGTCATAACTGTTATCGTCCATACGCCAGTACCGAATGTAAGATTCAAAAAGTTTATTTTTTAGTTGTTGCCGGCTTTTAAGGGTTTCTGACTACCATTCTCCTCTCTCCTTCTGCAAAGCTATAAAAAAAAATAACAAAGCTGATATACGTGTTTATATTTAAATACAAGTTGCCTCGGAGCAGAGGACGATATATTACAACAATCCAAAAAATTAGGGTCCCTTGGTAATTGTTTCGAAATGAAAATAACAGATTGGAACCGGATTTGAAATTACGCAAATACACTTCTTATACTAGAACCACCAAAGCCGCTACTACTTTACTGCAGTTTATTTAGAAATAGCAGCTCCTTCATTATTTATTTATTATTATTTATAGTTATTCACAGTTCCGGGTCGCATTCATTTAAGAATTACAATTTTTATATTTGCTACGCGCATCTTCATAATCGGTCGCGCTACCATGGTATACTCCCTAACATATAATCGTATATATATTGCATATAGGGATACCCATCGACTTCGGAAAACAGCTGCCCGATAACTATATGGGGATTACTAGATGTATGATTGCAAAGAGCCCGTAGTAGATCGATTAATGTCCGGACGTCGGCCGCGTTACCGTTAGTAGCACTCAACTAGAGACGGCGTGGACCTTGCCGCCTGAACTGAATCTTAATCTTTCGTTGTCGAGCCCGGGGTTATCGATTTGCAGCTCCGCGGCGTCCCGTTTTTCCTTGTTTCCGTATCCATGTGCATGTCCTTTATGGAAATCCTATGGTGATTGTTTAAAGGTACTATAAATATGAAACACTACCTTAGACCATCGACGTAGGGCAAAAAAAAAAGTTCTTAATCTTGGTGGGCTTCGCCCGGAGAAAATAGATTGTATAATACCTGATATTCGCTTACCCTCGAACCATCCGGCTGTTCATGCAGGACACATTTCAGCCGGTCAGCTGTGGGTACATATAATCCACAGCTGGCCTCTGAAGTCAGAAGAAAGATCTTTAACATGCCGGCTAATTGCTAACCGTCAGCGACCGGCCTAATCATTGTTGCAAAGCTAAAACTAGATCGTGCGGCCCGTGCAACAGTACCTGAGTGGCTCCTTTCCTGTGTGATATGACCTAATGATCGTACACGGGGCGGAGAATCGCTGTAGTTTTAAGTAAGAACTGAACGAATGCTTCCTGGACGAAGTCGCTTCTCGAGAGGTTGATAAACTTCCTCCGGCACCTTGCTTAGTGTGGTTTGGCGGTAATTCGCTAATAATTCTGGTACAGCGCGGTATGCTTTTACACATTGAGTTATTCTTATCCAGACGTTGCCACAAGGGGCCAGCTGAGTCGTTAAACTGGGCGCTGGTAGCAACTGGCGTACCCAAAGCGACAACCCAGATGCGCGGATTTTTTCACCACTTCCCATGAGTACGTTGATGGCATATGCAACGTAAAATCCAGAAAATACGTGCGAAATTCTGACAATCAACCTCGAAAAGAGGCCTGGCTATGTGAAAGACGGCACCACGCTAGGCCGAGCTTAGGAGCGCACGACACTATTTAAACGAAAAACCTCCGGTGCACTTTCTTGCCTATGGGTGTATCACTCGAACTCCGTAATGGTGAGGGGTTGCGTTGGCCTGACGTGAGTTGTCTGATGAAATTATTGCGTGACGTGCAACGGCACTTCTTCAAGAAGCCAACGAAGCTTTCAAAGGCTAATTTCAAGTCCCCACGGGCGACAAGCCTGTGTAGTATGCGCGTTGTCGTCGGGTTGCATCAAATTACGATGGAAAACAAATGTCAGATGGCGCCGTGATTAAATCTTTTTTCTGCTTCGTCAGCTTTGACTGTCGTCCTCGAAAAAAGATGGATGGCTCGATTTTTGTGTTGACCATCGGAAGACAAAATTAAACCTTTTTCGCCGTGCTGCGAAATGCATTAAAGAGAGCCTGACTGATCTCAACAATTGACCTGACGAATCTATACTAGCAAATCCTGATAGGGTTTGAATAAGGCAAAAACTGCGTTTTTGGGTGCTCAAGGTGACTTGTATCAGTTGAAGTTCAGTGGGTGCCCTTTAGATGGCTAATGCTCCAAAGACATTCTAACGGCTAATCAACCCTTGCGATACGAACTGCCCTTGGCCTACTCAAATACTATTTTTATTTAGTTTCTTATGTAAATCCATTCCATTACTTCAATATGAAGATTCGTTTTTGGTTCCGAATAAGGCCCTTATAGGCAGGACAGGACGCATGTGCACACAGATGCAAGCGATGCCGGACTGGCTGCTGTTCTCGTCCAGTGTAATGAGACTAAAAATCACATGGTGGCGTACGCTAATAACTGTTTGCCGAAGAGGCGAAGTGAAGAGCTCTGTCTGTACATATACAGTGGACATTGACAACTGTGCGCTAAAATACAAAGTTGCCAGAAAATGATTCTAAGATTCGATATCGATTGCATGACAATTCGCGCCACCGATTCCCTAGTATGTGTACACGCTGTAACAATATGAAGCAAGACCATAAACCGCAACGCTGACTCTGGATCAATTACACTGTATCAACACGCTGGATTCCGGAGGTAACCACGCTTCAGAAAAGCAAGGTTGTATCAACACGCTGGGTTCCGGGGCTAACCACGCTTCAGAAAAGCAAGTTTGTATCAACACGCTGGGTTCCGGGGCTAACCACGCTTCAGAAAACCAAGGGTGACCTGCCATCAAACGATAAGAAAATGGCCAAATCCAATTGTGTTGAGCCACGCTTTACCATTCCGGACTACAAAATTCCCGACTGGTTCCGTTATCGGCCGAATTAGCGAAGTCATCCACGCGTGAAAAGAAGTCGTACAGAACGATCGTGATAAACAAGGCCATAGTCACGAGCAACGCAAGCAACTTCTGGCGTTGGCACGTCAGGCAGTATTTGTCACACTTCAACATTCGCCACGTAAGAACCGTTGTACCTGATTTGGAAACGAATCCATTCCATCGTGCCGGTCGCTTCGGCCTGGAGAGTAGCAGCAATATATAATAGCAGTTGGACTTGCTTGACTTTTCCCACGTTCTCACGTTCTCATCCGTAATCGATGTCGCAGCATAAAGACCGTTCTCAATAGACTCCTAACTATCTTGAAAATTCATAAACGGGCCGTCGAGTTTTACTCAGTACCTAGTTTCCGTAAGCATTCTGCAGCATACTGTCAGTGTAGTTTTATTTACACACAAAACCTATTGTTACATATACAAAAAAACTACAGAACGCTCAATACAATTTCGCTAGGAAACTATAAATCGTATCAGATTGTTCTTGTCTTTTTGCCAAAACAAATGTGGATCATTAAAACGGTCGTAAACGATCATCCACTGATGCAAATTCAAGCGACTAATTTATTTCTGATTTAAAAGTGTATGTATATATAATCTAAAATGCGTGCAAAAAAGTTTTGTTGGAAGTGGACTAAGGTGCCTTTAGCAAGAACTGTTACTTAATAAGCAAAAGGTAACACCGCGGTCGTAATCAGCACAGTACTGTGGTAAAGCCTCAGCCTTATGGGGAGATGTTTTAAGGTATTTAGTGTTGGATTAATGGTATGTATATAGACATATATATATGTATGTATATATATATCTATATGATTACGTGTTCTTTCAGGTACAGGACAAGGGTTGGTCAATATTCAAATTGGGGGAAGGCAGAACAAGAACTACAGAAATTTGTACTTTAAAAATCAAAGGAAACCCGACGAGCCAATGTTAACTTCTAGTGAAGACGAAACGGATACTGAGACAGATGAAACTGGAGATGATCCACGTCATCAAAGCCGACGATCTCTATTAAGAATGCCATTTAAAGTCTTGCGCGGAGTTACGTTGGGGCGTGGAGATGATGGTACCCTTGCCTTCAACGTTAATCTTGGGTAAAATGAAAGATTTTTTCTGCTAGCAGGTGAAATCCTAATAGTAAAACAATAATACAGGAAAATGGAAGTCAGAAATAGGCCTCACGTGTACCTCCGGAAAGATACCCAAACCAATTCGATCACCAATGATAGGCTACGTGTGTCTGCGTTATTCGAGAGTATAACAATCAAAAGGAAACAAGACGGAGAGTGGTAAGGATGGACATTTGGCAGTGATTTTTTGTACTTGCTATTCAAGAGTGTGGAGCACATACATAGTTGGGTGATGTGGTGGTAAAGTTTAAATTAGGAGGTACTGCTGTGCGCGATAGGCCAGGGTAATGTGATGACCTATAACTCATTTGATCCATTTTTTTTGACTTGCGCGTACAATACAACTTTTGCATAACTGAGAGCTTTTAATCCTGGTGAATTCCATGGTTCCAGGTACTTATAAAATTATCTAGGAACATGATAAAAATATTCAGAATGCCTCAGATACGGCCATTACACATCGAAACCGTACATAATCAACTAAAATAAAGATATAAAATAAACCTAGGAAGTTCCAAATGTATTAATTCCTGCACCGTTATCCAGCAGTGATTCGATTATGATATCTCTATCTTTTGAGAGAGAGAGAGTGAGAGAGAAAGCGGTAAGTAATGCAATAGTTTTTGGGGCGTTTGCGAATCGTAGATTTTTTTAATGTTTGGTTACTTTTTTTACGTGAGCAAGCCCAATATCGTATTAAGGGTTTCTTCCAGTAGTTTCGTCGGGATAAGTCTTTTACAGACTTATGAAACGACATGGTGAGTATATGCTAAGGTAAACATTTTCAAAAGCAGAAATATAAATCAGCGATAGCCATATGTTTATGATTACCATGGCACTACACCGGAAAAGATGCACATAAACCAGCCAGACTGTGCAACGTAATTGTCGCGTTATTTATGCGGGTGACGTAGTACATGACAAACAGTACACGACATATGTTTATTTGTTTGGCGCCTTCCTTACCTATGGCCAATAAGCAGATATAATGAATGACATGATATAAGAACCTTGGTCTCAAAAATAATAGACAAATGTGGACAAATATAAACGTATGAGCAATCAAAATCAGCAGAACAGGTGTAATTAACAAAAGGCGAATTCTGTAAACAAAATTCTGCCTTTTGCTAACTAGTAGAAGGCAAAACCGGTTTTTCCATAAAAATACCTCTGCAGTTGATTATATCGATCTGAATTAGCTATTGGGAGCATAGTCTTTGGACGTCCGATGGGAAACCTGTCTAGGTTACAATGCGACGCTATTGGAGCAGGTTATAACGATCATAAACGTTCCTAGAACCGCAACCTACTCGTTCGCATGGTAAGTTGCACCGCGGAAAGCCTACCGTACACATCCTGGCTCCAGTTCAGCGTTAGATTATAAAAAGAGAGCTGTACTTAATATTAAAATAGTAGGATGTGTAGAATTCCTAACCTGTCGGTAGCGATAATTGAAGTAAAAAAGGCATGGCTTACTTCTACCGCGAGCGCAAGGTCAAGTCGGCTATTTTGAAGTTATCATCTGAACTACAACCCAGACTTTAACGACTACCTTGTCGAGGATTCACTGCAGCTCTTAATTGAAGGGACGTCTGACGATGACTGACCACTTCATCGATAGTAACAACTTTAATCAGAAGTGGTACTGATGCTTCCCTTGGGACATAGCCGAAACGTAATAGGTATTTAAAAAATAAAACAAGTTTATAAATACATTACACTAAGAAAAATATGCTTCCACTACATTAATCTAAAGGCTATAAGTTACATAAAGTTTCAACAATCAATGATAATGGAACAAATGAAAGATGTACAACCCAAATTAAATCAAAAAATATTTTACTTACAGAAAAATATTTTCGGCGAGCTCAAACTATTGATAATAAAATCATGACATGGCCATGATAAAACTAGGGCCGTCGCCGTATGATAGATCCAAAAACAATTATTATTGTAAAGTATCAATTTTTTTTGTGTGTAAGACGTTTTGAGCTGTTCGATTTTTTCAATCGAACAATCTAAGATAGAGCGTTCAAACACAAATATTGTGTCACCCACAACCACCATTAAAAGTAATTAAATTATCGGAGCACGTGCTAACTGTATTGAGTTGAATATCTGTTAAAGCATTTGCTGGAATATTAAAAGACTTTGGTTAGCTATTTACATACCTATTTATGTTAATCGCAAACACGAAATAATCTTGTTATATAATTAATGGCTTTAGCTAGCGAAGATTGCACGAACCGTATTAAAAACGGTTTTCTGACAAGGTGCTTTCCGAGGAGGAAGATGGTTGTTTAATCAATATCGACGCTGTGGACAAAACTGCAACCCAGAAAGGAGTCCATCAATTTTCTTGATTTAGCTGCTATCCTATTTATCGATAATGCCTAAAATATATATGCATGCATCATTCGTTAGCGAGTTGCCAGCGTTAACAAGCTATGAAGTAGATGCTAATTGAGGAGTAAGAGATCATAAGCACTTCCTCTCGCTCTCAGGTTCCAAAAGTAGTCCAGCAATCCGTACCTGATGTTTCTGTGAAACAATATGAGCTAGAAATGTGAGTTTCATTCATTTTGCCTTATACATTGGCAATTATAAGCAGTGGTGCAAACAATACCTTACACAATGCTTCACTACAAACTAAAATTTCCTACTGTAAACAAAAAAACGTAAAGGCTGCTCAGTCTAGACGTGAGGCTTTTTATAATTTAACAATCCATCGTAATTTAATAAGTCTAAGCCGCAAAGCTTAGAAGTGAGAATTTTTAGTCACCTAATATACACGTATCATGTTTTCCATAAATGTTAACTATTTGATTGAACATACTACCGAGTTATGCATGCAACAGTGAAAATAGTTACACGGTAGCTGCGCAAAGATATCATAGTGTGCTGAGATTATATCCGACATTTCTTTAAAGGATGCATTTATTTTTTATACTCTTTCCTTATCATATTTGAATACAGGTATTGCAGGAAAAGCAACTGAATAGTGACAGCTCGTTAACAATGTCCACACCAATACCTATGCATTTGCGAACATCTGTCTGCGGGAGTTAGGCTGTTTTGGATACGTAATACGGTACACAAAAACTCTACAGCTCTGCGCTATAGCTTTCCTTTTGCGCTTGGCTGGCGGCTGAACCTTTACAATATGGCGGGCTGGATTCATAGAGGCTAAGCATATTTGTACGAGCGTTGGTTATTAGTTGAAAGAACAGTTCTGCCGCTTTCGTTTACGCTTTAGAATAGAACACGATTAGCGAGGAAGCAGGGAAGATTTCTTATGTCCGTGAAATCCACATCATTACTCGACACATAAAGGATCTGGAAGTTTTCCTTGTGTGCAGTCCGAACTGCAAGGAAGATGCATTACTATTCACACGCTAACTTCAAGCATATGTTTTCTCCGCCATCACTATTGCTTCAACCGAACCGAATACACAATTCCCGATAGTACGATCACCAGAGGAATTCTTAACATATGCCCGAGTTTAGTGGTTCATTTAAATGCTCAGTTAATCTCGTTCGTAACGCTACTCGCGTTCGGAGTAAACAGTATATCCGGAGTGCAAGGTGATTTGCATGAGAAATTTTCTTCCGAGTAAATGGACGAACCATATGTTTTTACCATCGTGTGTTAATGATGATTAAGATGAAGTGTCTTGATTTTTTTTTGGGTGTAAACATGAAGCCTCTGGTAATGAACCGTGTCAACTCACACACGCCAATTCGGCTGATTATTTTTTGTGAATGACTGACGTCCTTGTACTACCAAAATGGTTAAAAGAGTTTCAAAGACTGGTGAGGTTAGTCAAGGTTAGCTTAAAATCTAGTTTTCTTCAAATATTTCAAACTATGCTTCGACCCTTTATGCGACTTCATTATTGCCAAATTCATATATTACCAAAGTCGTATATGTTTCCTTATAAAAGGTTTAACTTTCTGTTAGAAAGTTATTCAAATTTAAAAAGTTATCAAAATTCTGTTAGAATTTTGATTTTGTGTCTATTGGAGAAGATAATAACGAACCACGCATCAAAATTAGCATGACAGTTCAATTGATTCCATACCTGACACTGTGTTTAAACTTTTGCAAAGTGTTCTTGAAAATCGGAGCAATGTCCTAAGGCTGAGAAATAATACTGATTAAGCGGTGGTATTCATAGTAATCCGGTAGTAAAGTTCATGGTATAAAATCGACTCTTTAAAAGGTATATGTGCTAATTTTATCCATAGATAGTTTTCGAAATAACTAAAAATGTTCATATTTTTTCATGACTGATCTTTTCTGAACAGAATCAAGAAGATTGAAAGTGGAAGAATTCGATCATTAATAAGAACGTAAGCAGCCCCCTATGAGTGTTTGAATAAGCTTGCTGTTTTTCCTCACCATACCTCTGTTCTGACTCACGGTCCATAGCAAATAATACTCAAAATCTAGCTTGACATGCGTGAGCAACTTCGGTACGTTATAAATTTAACAGCTGCAAGGTTTCATTGGAATTAAGCTAACTCACAGTGGACGCACGTTACACATCACAATTAAGCTTCAACTATTGCTACGGACGAAAATTATTGCATAAATGCTCTGGCAAGGTGACATGGACACACGGATAGAACTAGAAAAATGACAGAATCATTATTATAAGACCGTCCTGCTTTACAGCCCAAACATATGGCACAAGTCGTACTTAATAATGTTATCTGAGTTGTGTTCGCCGTATGCACTTATCAGTAGCAGACGAAAAATGCGATTCAAGGATGTTAAAGGATACAACGTATACATATAGTTTAACTTAATGTCGAATTTTAGTACCGTAAAACTGAATATTCAGACACTGGGCATATTTCAGCGATTTTATTTATGGCAAGATTTTTAAGAGTAAGTGCAGAACATCTTGTGTTATTCGAAAATCCTAAGCGCTTTATGCATGAGGAAAATTGATAAGACGTGATCGTGCGGAGGCAATTTGTTTTCGTATGGAGGTAAAAACAAATAAAATGGTTTAGGTTCTACGTCTTCAAGACCAGCCACGAGAGGGGATGCTTATGGCCGTAGCGCATGTAGAAACGTTTTTTCGATAAACATATTTGCTGGTTTTGATTTTTACTTTAAACTTTTAAAGAATGACACAGATGCGCCGAGATAATAAACCAGAACACAATATAGTGGAATGTTAGTCGAATTTAAGTAATTTATTAATAATAATGAATTTTTAAAGGAAATTTTGTTGTAATGTTTTGTTATACCTAGAGATAAGGTAGCGACAAGCATTTTAAATCAAAGTGAAATATTTCGCAAAAGCTTTTTTGGCAACCTCGAAATAGCGTTGCCTTGTAAGATTAGGTTTCTTCTCAGCATTCTCAACAACTATTACTTGCGAATTTTTTCTGGGTTTATTGTGTGCGTTTATCATTTCCATTTTTTTCACCGCTAACCACATACAATGTATTGAAACAGAAATAAACCACTTAATTTTACTTTAAAATTGAATTGTCCTAAGCCGTTCCATCACCTTTATCCGTATATAAAATTGAGGAGCAATAGAAAAGATCTAAATTCTGTAAATCGGCTTAGAAGTTGGCAGAACCAAACTACACAAAGTAAAGTTTTGGGTGTTGGGGAGGTCATAGATTCAATATCGCGTCAACCACTGAAGTGCCCAGAGACAAGCCAGTAATTTATGAAATCGAAAGGCATGTAAACGACATGCACGTACTGCATTATACATAAATCGGAACTAACTATTGTTTTAGACTGGATTCAGCAGAGAATATAGTGTGTCTACGCCCTGTTTAGAGCCCAGGCTACCACACGTCTTTAGGTTTAGTAGGTAGAGGCGTGATTACTGCACTATCAACGAAGTGGCCCATATAAACTAGGAATTATGCTTTTATGTTGTTTTTTTACTTACTACCAAAACATATTCAAATTTCCAAACGATTTTTTCCTGCTGCATTTGCAGCTGACTAAGACAGAACAATCGGCAGAAATTCAGTTTTAAACAGCATAGATTTACTTTAGAGTCCGCACTGCTTATTTCTGTTGTGCATTTTCCGTTGCATCGTGTGGAAACCTGTTCCTTCTGCAGCCTGATACCCCATTTGCGACGCTGTGCACTGTCAGTTTAAAGCAACCCAAAAGGTTTATCATTTTGTTGATGCTCCATCCAGCGCAAAAATATTAATGCGGATATTGTAGAACTACGTGCCCTCTAGAAACGTAGAACTTTACATAAAATCC